TGTGACCACCTTCCACACATAAACAGCCAGATTTTTAAGATGGTCTTGCCCCTGACCCCTTTTCTATATGGTTACTGAGTGGACACTGTCCACATCAATAAGGAGAGAGGCCTCCTAAATGCAAATTCTTAGACCAACACAAAGAGATCCAGGGCTCTTTAGGGGTGCTTAAGTGCTTTTCAACCTAGCTTTTTTGCATGGCAGCTATAAAAAGTTGTTTCAGTATAAATTGCACCGAGACGGACATGTTTCACAATCAGCTTGTCCAACTAAATTTTGCTCTCTGTTATGGAAGATAAAGGCATACACGAAAACCTTTGAATGATAACGGATTCAAACTATGCATGAGTCTAATATGAGTCCTTACCTTTTCACTCTCTGTGTCCAGAGCTGATGTTGCTTCGTCCAGAAGCAAGACCCGAGGCTGTCTAATGAGGGCACGGGCGATGGCTATCCGCTGCTTCTGGCCCCCAGAGAGCTGCGTTCCTTTGTCTCCAACTTTGGTGCTATATTTCTGTAAATAAGGTTTGGGTGTTGTTAAAAGTAAAACTGAAGAAAAATTCCTTACAGAACATAGGGTAACGGCGTCCACAAAAAAGATTCTGAAGCTAAAAATGGGTTGGTTAACAGAAACTTAAACCATAAGAAAGCTTTCACATAGAATGTTCAACTTTTTAATTAAAAAGATATGTCTGAGCCTTAAAAGTATATGTTTCAGTGAAAATAAGCCAACACATTTATGAAGAACATCATTGCAATGCTTGGCTCTCTTAGAGATCTAGCTGCTTATGTTCGGGGAAAAGTTAACACATAAATAATTGAAGACCATTCTACCTATAACCAGCAGGTGGCACTCCTTACCTTGTTTGAAAAGGAAAGGAAAGCAATCAGGCTTGGGATGTAGAATCAACCTTCAGGCATCTGTTTTTATAAACCTATCTCCAGTGTGTAAGAAAGTTTATTGAGTGGGAACAAAATTCTATTTTGGTATATAACTCTGAAGGCGCTGTTTAAAAAAAAACTTTTAGAATTCTTCTTGAATTTCTCATAAATTAAGGGATGTGACGGCGTGTGTAACCAGGAAAGCACTGTCTTCTTTTAATTGCTGAAACTTTAGCAAAATTGTGGGCTCTGCTTCTCATACCCAGAGACTAACTTTCAAATCTTTATGTTGTTGTTTGGGGCCACGAGTCAGTTCTGACTCACTGTGACCCAGAAGGCACCACAGACGGAAACACAGCGACTGCCAGGGCAGGGTACCACTACCGTGTGAGTTTCCAAAACTGTAACTGCCAATGGGAGCGAGAAAGCCCTGTCTTTTCCACATGGAATGAGCAGTCCCTGGAAAAAGACATCATTGGGAAGAGGAAGACCCTCAGTGAGATGGACTGACAGAGTGGCTGCCACGCGGGGCACCGACATAACAGACCGGGCAGTGTTTCCTTCTGTTGTGCCACAGGGTCACGATGAGTCAGCCTCAAGTCAATAGCAATGATTTTGGTTTTGCTTGTTTCAAATAACATCTTCTTTACAGGGTTGCCTATTTCCACTCGTTACCTCTGGCAATCCTAGTTCTCTGGCACTTAGACTGAGGTCAATCGTGGCAGGTGGCATGAGGAGATGCTGGGGGATGCACAGGACTGGCTCTGTCTAGCGCTGAGGGAGCTTGGGAAGTCAGGAGCACCAACGGGGGTGGAGGAGCCGCTGGGCTGTCCTAGCACCGAGATCCTGTTGAGGCAGGTAGAGCAGGACTAGAGCCTTGGAAGAAGGTTTCCAGCCCAGCCTTCTGAAGACTGAGGTGAATTCTGCCCTTACTCTCTCAGGAGAAGTGATCTTTAGAAGCAGGACATGGGGGAGTTTCCTCCTGAGACAGAGGGTACTGACGTCTACAGGGGTGTCCTGGTGATGTATACAGTCTAGGAGCCCAAGACACAGGACTGGGAAATGGGTGTGGTGGGGAAATGCTAGATGGCAACATGCACAATTTAATAAGCAAGATCACCACGACTCTTTGTGTGGGTCTTCTGTTACTCCGACACCAGGCGCATTTATTGAGGCAATTCCAACGCATGGTGACACCAGGTGTGTCTCGGGAGAAATGTGCTCCACAGGGTCTTCAGGGACTGGTTTCTGAAGTGGATTACTAGACCTTTCTCCTACGATGCCCCTTGGTGGACTCATTCTTCCAGCCTTTTGGCTAATACTGATTGCCTCACCCAGGATTGTACTGTTAGCCTGGAGGTTTGCCAATGTTAGCCAGCAGCACCCAAGGGCTTGTTAAAACAGTGTGCTGTACTGCTGATTCACCAGGTCTGGAGAAGAGCCTGTACATGTCCATTTCCAGCAAGTTCTCCGGTCTTACTGGCATGCTGAGCCACACCCATACAGGGAGGCCTGGATGGGACCCACTGCCAGGTTGTCGTTCCTGACTCAGGGAGTAACCACAAAATTCACTCATAGACCTGATATAAGGTTCCCAAGGCTATACATTTTTACGGGAGCAATTGCCTCATCTTGCTCCCTCAGAGCAGCTGGTGGTTTTGAACCTTGCAGTGAGCAGTCCAATACTTATACAACAGCACCACCAAGCTTTATGACAGAGAAACTGTTGGCCTCCTTACTAGCACATGGGACTGGAGCTTTGTTGTGTTTTACGTGGTCCAGCCTCCACCAGGGTTAATTATCTCAATTACTTACAGTTGGGCTAGCGTGCTCACGGGGCAAGGAGGACAACGCCTCCTCCCTGAGGCAAGAATGATCCAAACTAGACCGGAAGGAGAAGGAGAAGGTGGATTTTAGGAAGCTGAGAGGTCCCTGGTGTTGCCATTCTTGCCTGCCTTCCCGCTGCAGCACTGTGAGTTCCCTTTTCGGGGGCAGGGATTTCTCCGTACACTAAGAAAGCACAGGCGAGGGTGAACTGGGAGAAGCAGGTGAGCAGAATGGAGATACACTTAGCACGCACGCACGCAACCCCACACCTGAAGCACCCTAGGAGAAGGTGAGGGGTTACTGGTTGCCCACTTTCCTAGAAGCCTTAGCGGACCTTTGAGAGACAACAGCTGAGAGAGCCATGGGGAGATTTTCAGCAGCGGAACTCAGAAAACAGGGCTTGGGGGTCCACAAAACATGTCACTCCGTTTGCCATGACAGGATGCCCTGGTCACTCCGGTGGCTCAGCTCTATTTAGAGAGCTTGTTTCAGCGGGGTGCTACTGTCTGGCCTCACTTCAGATTGGGTTTGGGGTGCAGGGGAGAGCTGCAAGGAGGTGGAATGAAAGTCTGGAGAGAAAAGGGTTAAAATGGCCCTGCCGGAAGTGGGGGCTGAGAGGGAGAGAAACCCGTCCCCCCCACCCCCCCACAACACACACACCCACCAGGCCAGCTTTCTTCAGAGCTCCCAACACAGAAGCCTGGGGCCTGGGGCCTTCTTCCTCCACTTCTCCTCCTAGAAGTCCCTCTCCTCTATGTCTGAGCGGAGCTAATACTCCCACCCCTTCTCCCAGGGAGAGCTGAGCAAGAGGGCAGACAGGACCGAGTGTGTAGCTGCATGCTTGTGTACGTGAAGGTCTGTTTTGGATTATTTTCCTCTTCTCCATTGGGAAGTCGGTCCTTTAGAACTAAAATGATAAGGCGCTGAGAGACCCTATGCTTCCTGGGCTCCTACTTCGGGAGAGACTTACTTCAGGCAGCGTCTCAATGAAGGGGTGTATGTTGGCTGCTTTGGCTGCGCTCACAATTTCATCGTGTGCTACAACGCGGCTATTGTCTCCGTAGGCGATGTTCTCGGCAATGCTGCAGTCAAACAGGATGGGCTCCTGGGACACAATGCCCAGGTGGGCTCGCAGCCACTGCACATTCAGATGTTTTATTTCTTTGTCATCAATGAGCTGAAAACACAAGTTTATAGATCAACTTTGAGTCAGGACACTAAGGAAAATTAATGGTATTTCTCTTATATATTAAAATTGCCAAGTTACTGTGATATTGAAGACAATTTTGGTTTTCTCTAGTCTGCTTGGCACCGTTCCTCAGGCTGGGTCTAGCATTGACGAATGGACGTGTTTCTCAGGTTTAACCCTAGTTTCCTGAGAGATGCATGTGGTGGACAGAATTAAGTCCCCCTTTTCCTCCCAATGTGATCCATGTCCCAATCCCTAGAATCCATGTAAAAGGGAATTTGGTTGCAAAGAGAATTAAGGATGCTATAGTTCACAATAGCAAGAAGCTAGAAACAGCGCAAACGCCCATCGGTAGAAGAATGAATTGAGAAACCCTGGTAACAGACACCCCATGGAATATTATGCATCCATGCTGAGACCACGGGATACCTCGTGACATGGAGGGGCCTGGACGCTATTCTGCTTCATGAAGTCAGTCCATCACAAAAGGACAAATATTGTGCCAGTCCACTTCTGGGAGATAAACACAAAGAAGAAAGCCGGCCACTGCTCCAGGGCATGCAATCTTCTCATCTGGTCTTTTGAGCCATGAGGGAGAAAGCCTGCCTGGTGTCCATGAAACACGTCACTTCTTCTACCACACGGACATGTTAAGAACCACGTTGACAGAGTAGACCTCACCTCAGCTGGGGTCAGTGTTTCAAGATGTGGGGAGACAGAGAAGACCATTCAGTTGCTGCCATAAAAACTGTGCTCAGGTCACCCCGCCAGGGGGATCAGGAAACCTTGCTGGACGTTCCCGTCACCATGGGGAGGGGACATGTACGCCGCAGAGAAGGCAATTACCTTTCTGTTAGTAAGAGAATGGGGTGGACCAACCTGCCATCTGGAAACCACGCTCAACAATACTTACACAGAACCCAAGGGGGTAGTACGCCTGGTGGCAAGTTCCTAATTAGATACTTCGGACCTAGTTTCTGTCCAGTCCTTGGCTGTGTGCTACAGGCTACTGGGACTGTAGACTCTGTTCCTTGAAGACATACAATGTCCTTCACAGGCCGGACCAGAAGGACTCAATATGGAAACCCCACTGAGCGCACCGGACTTTACCTCAAACTCACCTCTAGCTCTTGGTTTTAAGGGTGAAACTCCCTAGTGTAAGAAGCAGCAGGTAACTGCCATCCTAAAGGCATAAAACTGGCAGAAGATGGACTTTGGTTCAAAGCTCTCTGTCTTCAGGGTGCCCGGTGAGTGGAGGCCCAGAATCTCCATCCACGTAGTGTTCTGAGGTCCTTCTTGCGGCACTGTGACGTGTGTCAGTCTAATAAGCGTGGCTTTGCTGCTGTGAATGATTATTCCTGAAAGTTTTGCCTTTTCACCAGCCCCCATTACTTGTGCAAACAGTGCCCAGTCACTGAAGAGTTTAATCTGTACAAATGGACAGTTCACGCATTGCAGATCATAGCTGGGTGTGCCCAATGTCACCACAGAGTTCTTAATGGCGAATGAGGGACGGAGGAGACTGCGTGTCTCCCAGAACGGACTGGTCGGTGCTGACTCTGAAGATGAAGAAAGGGGCCCTGAGCTCAGTAGGTGGACAACCTCGAGAACACTGGTTCTCAGCCTTCCTAATGCTGCGACCCTTGAATACAGTTCCTCATGTGGTGGTGACCCCCACCCATAAAATCATTTTCGTTGCTACTTCATGACTGTAATTATGCTGCTCTTATGAATTGGGTAACCCCTGTGAAAGGGTCGTTCAACCCCCAAAGCGGTCACGACCCATAGGTTGAAAACCACTGCTCTAGAAACTAGAAAAATGCAAGGAAACTGATGATCTCCCACGAGCTCCTGAAAGGATAACATGTCTGATGTCACCTTGCTGTTAGCCCAGTGACCTGTAAGAACTGTAAGATAATAAATCTGTGCTGGTCTAAGCTACTTGGTAACCTGCTACAGCAGCAAAAAAACAACAATATAAAATGCTTCCAGTGAGATATACCCTAAAAACCTCATTTTTACATCTCACTAGGTCACCAGAAATGTGTCCAGGATTGGAGTGGAAATAAGCAAGAGTTACGGTCACCCACTAGATAGGACATTCAGGTTTCTGAATGTTCGCTAGGTAAGATGAGGTTTTGAGAAATCAGTAAGAGTGTAGGAGAGTGAGTGCTAGCAGGTGTTTGAACTTGGGATACTCGAATTCCTCTAAGCCTTGGTTTCCTGGTGTGTCAAATGTGAGTGATGATGAAGAGTCAGCACACAGATTGGAGCATTCAATGATGTATGTTTCATGTGTCAATAAGATCCCCATTTAGTCAATGTCAGGCATTCAGTAACTCCTCAAGGATTAGCAGTGATTTGTCGCTGTGTGTATGATATAACTATTTAATAAATGGATGGGTGGATAAAATCATGGGTGGATATCTAGAATTCTGAGCCAAAAGAGTGAGAGGAGGATGCTGTCCTTGTTGTCGCGAGCTGGCTCTCTGAATTACCCTGCAGCCCCAGGAGTGCACTTACAGCCTTCCTCTCAAACGTCTTACGCTCTGATGGTGACATGTCTGCCACATAGATCTGCTCTGCAGCAGAACTCTGGCATTCCAGTGAGAGAGCTGTTTGCCGCCCTGCAGGAGACGCCACGGAGTCAGCATCACCTCGTTAGGCACCTCTAGCTGTTTTCCCTTGAAAGGGCGGTGAGCCACACATACTCTCTGCATCCTGTGTGCTAGGCTGGGTGCCTCTGGGAGACAGCTGGCCAGAGTCAGAGTACAATCTGTGAGCAGTCACAGAGCTTCTGTTTGTGCAGCTGACAGATGCCGGGATGGAAAGCACAGCCATCACCTTGTTAGCACCAAGCTCAGTTGCTAGGAGACTATTCTGAGCATCTATGCTCTAGGCTGCTTTATGGCGCTAATGGGTGAGAGCGGATGGGTGGGTGGGTGGGTGGGTGGGTTAACAGCCTGACATGAAGTGTCTGAACTGCAGACCTTCTTAGATGGACCGCTGTAGTTGAGAAATGGAAACCTGAGGGGAGAAAGGAGTTGTTTTTTATTTTTCCAGGCACATATCTCTGGGAGGGAAACAGACACTGCTAAACTAATAAAATCAAAGACAAGTCAGAATCACCCTAGCAAGTTTTAGTGAGCTTCCACCTCACATGTAATATGATAACACTTTGAGCCTTTCTTATCCCGCCATGCCATACTTGAACTAAATGAAAACCTGTGCTCGTGAAAGAACCCTTTATGCAGCAAAAGCATCCCGAGTACCCAAAATGTCAAACAGAAAAGCAGAAGTCCTTTAGCCGAAGTGGAGGTGGCAGTCTAGGGTGGGATCCAGGAAAACCATTGAAAAGCCACTGGCCTAAATGAAGACGCAATGATAAGTCCTATATTGATAAGCATTCTCTTGTTTCATCTTTACACCTCTTGTGAGGTGGAAAGATTTTCATTTCCATTTTGCAGATAAAGAGATGAGCTGAATCATATAACTTCCACGGGGTCATTCAGGAATTGTATGATCTAAACATTATGAGTCGCGTTTAGGAAACACAAATGTCTCATAATGGATATGTATTTTCTGTCTTCCTTCATAAGAGTGCTGTTGGTTCAGGCATCCATTGGGTTATATTTATGGTGACAGCAGGCTTCTAATTATATCCTAAAGGGGAAACATGGCCCTGACAGTGGTGTCCGAGATGGACCAAAGAGGGATGAATAGGAAGACTGGGGGATGCCTCAAAGGAAGGATTTAACAGTGACGTTATATAAGTGCTGGGGGTACAGCAGTGTTCTGGGGCAGGCAGGTGAGCAGGTTATGATCAGGAAGCGCTCCCACTTAAGGATTTATGGTAAATTGCCTACAGAGAGTGCCTAGGAAAGGAATGGGTATCTGTATACTCCAGTATTTTGTTGTGATTTCTCCCCCATTCTATGTTAAGTATTAGGAACCCCGGTGGCATAATGGTTCCCATGAGGTAAGCAGTTAGAAACCACCGGCCGTGCTCTGTGGGAAAAAGACAAGCCTCTGTGCTCTCATGAAGAGTTACACATCTCCATCCAGTCATGAGTCGTGACCTGTCAGTCTTGCCCTGCCTGTCTTGGTCAGAAAGCCCTGGACCGCTCTTGGAAGCCCTTCTATCTAATAGTGCTCATGTCTCAGTCATGGTCCTGTTCCTGCTCCTGCAGTCCCACCTGAAACTGTGATGGACTGAAGTGGCACCAATCATGAGTTTCTGACAGTTTCCTTTGTTCCATGCCCTATGTTTCTAGCATCCCGATGGTGAGTCCTTGGATGCCATTTTGACCTCATGCTAATGGCCTCCCTCATCCAGATGTGCCTGTCTTTGTGTTGTCTTTGTCCCTTGAAGACAATGTTCTCCTTCAACTATTAAGAAAAAAAAAAAGGAGCCAAAGTCTCAGAAACTCACATAGGTAGTTCTACCTTGTCCCATAGGGTCATTATTAGAATTGACTGGATGGAGGAGAGTTTTTTTATATAAGTATTAATTTTTGTACCTAACTTTAAAATTCCTACCTTTACTCAAAAAGACAACAACAACAAGAATCGTACCACCTTCAGATCCCACACAACTTGGATCTTCACCTTCTCGTATATAGTTCAGGTCTTTTGTTTGGTTGAAGGCTGTCTACCATTTAACTCAAATGTCTTCCTCCAAAATCCAAACCTTTAGCTCAGTTGTTTTCATATTATGGTTAGTTTTATAATTTCTTGGGGAAATTACAAGAGTAAAAGGCCAGGCCCTAATCCGAGTTAGGATGACTGTACTCTGTACAGGCTGGTTAGGCTATTATGGTACTCACCAAGTTTGAGGACCCCCACTCCAGGCCAGTGTTTCTCAAAATATGATTCAAGGCCCCTTGTTGGTTGTGAGGATCTTCCTGAATTCAGGATCGTCCTTAGGGTCGATTACTTTAGTTCTTATTATGAAGATTCATTTTTTTCACGATAATAATAACTAATTC